GTGTGTGTGTGTGTGTGTGTGTGTGTGTGAGTGCGAGAGTGAGTGTGTGTGTGTGTGTGTGTGTGCGCGAGTTTGTGTGTGTGTGTGTGTGTGTGTGTGTGTGTGTGTGTGTTACTCACACTCCTCCTCTTTGGGGTCGAGTTGAGTGACGCTGATTGACAGGCGGTCGACTCTCTCCTGAAGTGAATTCACTCGAAATGAGAAGGAATGAGCTTCATTAAAGAGCTCGCCGAACAAATCCTCCGCATATTTACCTGAACACACACAAACCAGCGGCGGATTATAGACACACACGCCGAATCAAAACTAACAGTACTTTATTTTCATCATAATTAACCTCAGTTTTAGTTCTTCTCATGATTCTAAATGTGATTCTCATTACTGTAATAAAATGAGTAAATGATCAAATTAATTTTTATTTAAATCAGCATCAATTTAAGGCAGTTCAACAAATGTTATCATAATGAATAAATATTGTAATACATAATAAAAAATTATGAAAAACAAATTAGGCAACAAAAAGTTAAAAAAAAAAAAGTTAACAGAGAGAGATAATAATAACTCGATCTCGATCTCGACTGCCGAAACTCGACTAAATCATACGAAAAAAAAAAACATCATAACTGTATATTTTCTGTATACTTGTGTCGCTTACAATTAAAGTCATTTTCTGATTTTATTTTTTGCAACGTTACTTGGCAATATTTTAAAGATATTATTATTATTATTTTGTTTATTTATTTTTTTGTATTTTGCATGGTCTGTTATTGGAGTAGTGTCACCCTGGTGGGAGTTTTAACTCCTATTCCCCCGGGAATAAAAATAAATGAATTAATAAATAAATAAATAAATATAAATACAATTTAAAAAAGCATTCAGTCGATGCAGAGACCTATAGTGCGGGGGAATCCCCCATCTCCCCACCCTCTGAATATTATGTATCATAAAGTAACTCCATCATTTGGCGGGTTTTACTCGGAAAAGCAGCTGTTTTCTAGCATTCGAATAACTACCTGAAACTATAAAAGAAGGATTGGAGATGAATTTCATTTACAAATAGAGTAGGAACGTGCATACTTTTTAATCGCCACAGTGTTTTCCTCTTTGAGTGTGTCTTAAAAGCTATGAGGAGGGGGGCTTAATCTTATCACTCAGCATACCTGGTTACAAAAGTCACCGCTCGCCACTGATATAAATATATAAAATAAAATATAATAAAAATGTTTCATGGAAAATTCTAATTCTCTTTTCTTCCAATTCTTATTTTTTCCAGTACAACAATTGTTATCATTTAATGAATAAATATTTCACAATTTAAAATACAAGTTAATGACTTCTATATATATATAGAGAGAGAGAGAGAAAAATAATACGATTTATGAAAAATTCGATAAAATGATGCATATCAATTATATAATATTATATAGTATATCGTATTAAAAATAAATAAATAAATAATGAAAAACAAATTAAAGTTAATAAATTAAATTAAATAATAAGATGTATTTATTATTAGTTTTATGCTAAATATAAATGTGACCCTGGAGCACAAAACCAGTCATAAGACAGCTTTAAAGATCAAAGACAATTTTTTATATAACTCCGACTGGATTCGTCTGAAAGAAGAAAGTCATATACACCTAGCATGCCTTGAGGGTGAGTAATTTATGGGTGAACTAACTCTTTAAAACTGCTTTTGTGCTCCAGGGTCACAAATAATTACACTACACTATTGTACGCCACTGCAGATGTGGCATATGAAAAGTGCTGTGGATTTGGAGCCAGAAGTCTGTGTTTGTGGAGAGCTGGACTCACTCAGGCTGCTCAGCTGTCGGATCACGTTGGCCAGAGAGATGTTGGTCACACACTCCAGCTCGTTCTTGATGCTGTGTGGCAGAGCTGTGTGACACAGGTGACGAGGCTCGATACTGCGCTTGACCAGCGGCATCCTGACGCTCTCGCTCGCTCACCACACCTGAGAGAGAGAGAGAGAGAGAGAGAGAGAGAGAGAGAGAGAGACAGAGAGACAGAGAGAGAGAGAGAGAGAGAGAGAGAGAGACAGACAGACAGAGGGAGAGACAGAGAGACAGAGAGAGAGAGACAGAGAGAGACAGACAGAGGGAGAGAGACAGACAGACAGAGGGAGAGACAGAGAGAGAGAGAGAGAGAGAGAGAGACAGAGAGAGACAGACAGACAGAGAGAGACAGAGAGAGAGAGAGCGGTGAGAATCAAGCTCAGACAGAAATAATCACATTAAGAGCGAAAGATTCCACAAATCAGTTCACAACAATCTCACACTGAACCATCAGAGCCAACAATCACAGACTTTACACTGTCTGTTCAACATTATCTGTTGAAATAAATAATGATATTATATTATATTAAGTAAAAATCATATTTTTAAATTTGCATTTCTATTGCAACTAGTTACATGCTGTAACAACCCTAATACTATAAAAAAACTTTCTGCAATCTTTATTTAATTAATTTTTATATACCATTTTTACACACACACACACAGACAGACTCTCTCTCTCACACACACACACACACAC